CTCGGTGTTTGTACGAAATTTCTATGGAGATGCTTATCGAACCCTCACGCTCGCAGAAGTATGCCTCTGTTTCGCCGCATGAAACGTCCAACAAATTGCACAACGGTGAGACTTTTACTCGAACGAGCAAAGAACCGCGAGAACAGCGATGGCCGAGCACGCGCGAGACCTTCCACGAGATAATTTATTGGTCAATCAAAATGACGCATGGAGGTATAAGGTGACACGTCAGCGTACACGGCTGACCATTAATTTTAATACCCGTCACCATCAGATCTCCCGACGCTGCTTTCCACGTTGGCTCCCCACTGACGGTGGAGCGTATCCATCGGCATCGGCTACCGTACGACTAATGCCCCGTTCACTAACGACGATCATCCTTGAAGATCTCGGTCTACCGATCTCTCACGGCCGCAACGAATTATTATCCCTCTCTTAATCCCGTGCAGCGAAGCGTTGGACCCTGTCGGGTGGCGGTTTCTGAGGATGGTGATCGGTAGAACCGGAGGAATCGGAAACGCAGGCTATCGGAAAGGCGGTCGCGATCGAGCCGGCAATCGAGGCGAGAACTTTCGCGAAATAAAAGCAGAGAGGTAGGATCGCGTGCAGGGGACGCTGACAAGGACACGTGGAACAACGGGAGAAAAGGAAAAGCGGAGTAAGCGAGGCACTACGCGGTGGAAAAATCACTCGGGCGAGATACGATCTGAGTCCAACGGAAAGCTTCGAGCCGGCGTCCGGATATATATCGATGGTACGCCAAGAACGCGACGAGAGGTATGCAAGCACGGTAAGTGCAACGTCGATTGATAGCGCGCGTCCCCTTATCTATAAACCATTTTCACTTTTTTCCCTTGGCTGCCTATCTGGCGCGTTCGTGGCGCGTTCGTGGCGCGTTCGTGGCGCGCAAGCAGAGAATTCTACGACGTTATTTACGGCTGATTAGCGGGGCTCAATAATTCCCTTCCGCGTTACTTTATCGAGTGCCGTGGACCACGCGCGATTTCCCCGGGATTTATGACGCTAGATAGACCGATACCCCTGTCTCTGGATCGGCCCGTTCTGCCGGACCGATCTCGTATGTAAACAGAGACCGGACCAAACTGACCGGTAATCTCCGACGAATTTGCATGCTGTTCCTTTCGAAACGGTTCGAACGGCCGAGTAATACGTGCGGCCTGTTGCATGAATAAGGGAAACGTAAACACGTCGAGACGATCAGATCCTCCGGTCCGTGAAACGGAAACGATTCGTTTTCCAATGACCCACGGATTATTCGACCCGCATCTGCTTAACGCGCATCATCGACGTTTCAATCGGTAAAACTGCTATCGGCCGTGGACATCTAGTCCGGAGCGGTTTCATCGACTATTCCAAAGTGGCGGAGTACGTCAACGCGAAACGAATCACGGGACGCGTCGTCGTACAGTTGGCCCTTGAGACGGATGCATAATTTCGAGCTGCAGGCTTCCAAGGCTGGCCCCTGTACCAGCCGTCGCGTCACAGAAGGCGCACGGTTGCTCAGGAATGTCGAACGGGTCGGTCACAGGGTTAACGTCTGCTGCCTCCTCGCGTGCCTCCGACTTTTCTCCCCGGTTGTATCTCATTTGTAAAGATTCCGGGACAAAGGAGCCACGGAGAATCTTTTGTATGGCTGTGCGCCGCGCTTCACCCGAAGTAGCCGTCTCGACCGGACCGCGTGCGCGCCAGCCTGCCGGACAGACAGAAGCGCGAGTCTGTCAAGTGGCGCGATTCTAATCTGACAGGGACGTATCGGTTGCCGGTTTTCCTCCCGATCCCGAGCAATCGACCGTGTATTTTCGGGCCAGGCATTGCCAGACGCCGAGGATCGGTCATTTCCATGAGATTCGAGCCACGAATCGCATTAGCGCCACCAATGGCCGCAAGTCGGGCGTTCGTTTTTGCATGCTATGCAAAGCGAAGGTTCCCGCGCAACGTCTGTCACCCGGTATCGCGATATACGTCTGCTTCCAACTTATCGACTCGCGAATCGTCGATGCGAACGATCGAACGCAAAGGAATCGTCGGTGCTCGCCCAGCGAACGCTCGCGAAGTTTCCCTGAAATTCAACTTTCGTCCGTTGTCGAACACAGAGATTTCTCGTTAAAAATAATCGTCGCTTATTACTCGCCGCTCGGTCCCGGGCGTAGCTTGTACGTTAATGCGGTCTATTACTTACCAGGTACGTTTCCGAAGGCGAGCCCTGTCCCTGGTGATCCACGGCCAACGACAACCGCCGCTCCGTTGTGTCGAAAAAGAAAAATCTGGGGACACCGATACACGAAGGAACCGATGAAATTATTTATTCTCCGGCGTGCACGAACTCTATCTTCGATCTCTTCGCTTCCGACCTTAACGACCGCCATTTAACTTCCACATGATTTCAACGTTTCGTCGGCAGGCATCCGGAGGCCGTGTAACTCTCTACCACGAATCTCGAGTATGCAACTTACCTCGAGATAACCTATAAGCGCGCGCGCGCGCACGCCTGCAGGAAAAGAATTGGAAGCGGAGTGTGGCTGCGCGATTCGCGGGGAGGGACGCGGCGAGGGAGGTCGGAAGAACGCTGGCGGAGGTTAAATGATGTATAAAGTGCGTTAACCGACACCACTCACCGTGCAACACACGCATATCGCGTTCACGGTATAAACGTAGGCGTGGCTGGTTTGATATCAACGATGGCCACCTTTCGACTGTAAATCAATCGATATCGCGCCGGCAGGAGGGGCTTTTCATGGGGTTTGCACGGGCCTGAAATACGGCTCGGGGGTGGAAGCATGCGCCAAATGCTGAATGCGAATCGACCCGCCCCGAAACCTTTTATCCCGACACCGATCGCCTCGCCACTGTCTTTCTCCTTCGCCTGCCTACTCTACGCTTCGCCAGCGTCGCGCCGATGCATTTCGATAAACATCTGGCTCGATTGATTTCCTTCCCGGTGTTAATTAGCACGCGTCTAGTACCGCTTTCACGGCACCGATCGCTCGGCCGCGTTAACGTCCCGAGATCGCCATCACCTTGTCTCTCTCCCGTTTCTTCCTCGCCGATCTTTCCCTCGCTCCGATCGCTTCTGCCCTTTCGCGTCGCTTTTTCTTCCCTTCCCTCTTCTTCGTCAAGCCTCCCGGGTACTCGAACGCGCGCGGTTTAATGGAAGCTGGTTCCGTGATTAGCGCACTGTCGCACCCCGAGCTTTCGAACGACGCGCGTCCGAGCGTGCCGAGCGTTCGTTTTGCTCCTCTCGCCGAGCGATTCGCTGCTTTAACGCCGCTCAAATCTAAGACCGCGTGTCTAGGATCGAATGTCGAATCGCGGGTTTCAGTATATTGCTATCTCGCGCAGAGGCGAACGTCTGTTATAGGAAAAACTCGTATCTTATTTGCGCGGTAGCGAACGGAACCGCCGTTAATTGCCCGGATAATTCGGATCACCGGTGCCGCGTGATTATTTAATCGACGGTTTATCAGCCGGCAGCATCGTCGGTGTCTTTGCGCGGATGTTCGGAGGAAGTGAAGTTCGCGGTCGGCGAAGAAAGTTTACAGGCGACATAGGTAATCTGGACCAGAGGGACATGGGGTGGATGTCGAAGATTGAACAAGTACGTCGATACGTGGCTCGTGATAGTGGGAATATTTAATTCGATCTTTAAATAATTCTTACAAGGTATAAGTGCCCGATATTGTATCGAGCCTTCCGTATTAGCATAGGTAAATAAATAACTAAGTTATTTTTAAACAGTCTATCGAGACGACGTTCTCGCTAAGTTGCGTTTTATTTACACGACGATTTATCAATCTTTTATATATATATATATACCTATACATAGGTCATTTCTATTTACTTCTCTTCGTACATATATGTATAACGTTTTCTATTGCACATCGCAATTGTACGATATCTTACATTTTTACAATAAATTAACGGAACGAAACTAGCATCGCATTCTCTCGCTCATTCTCGCTCTCTTGCACGCAATCTTTCTCACTCTCTTTCTCACCCACACGCATTCTCACGTCACACGCTCTCGGTGATGTTTCTCCTTTCTCTCCCTCTCTCTCGCACACTCTCGCACTGTCTCGAATACTGGTTCCTTTATCAGAGAACGACTGTTTTACTTTTATTTTTTTCTTCGATCTACTGTTCGCGAGAAAACTGTACAAATGGCACTGTACAACCCATTCCACCTCGTGACTTACGCGATTCACGCGTAATCGTGACGCTCGATCGGTACGATTCTTCCGTTCGTTTCCCTTTCGTTTTAAATACGAAATTTTACTCGTGGCATAGGAACGTGCGTGCTAAGTTCATCCTCATCCGAACGATCCCGAGGCGAATGCCGGTTATCGTCGCGATCGTCGCGCGCCACGACCACCGTCACTCGGCTCGCGACGCCGGAAATCCGTCAGCTTTCCTCTCGTGGATTCGTCGCGACGCGTTTTATCGGTTTTCGAGTCAAATGGGAAGCTCTGAGACAACGAATCTCCACGATTCGTTCAACGGTCGCGTAGACGTTCGGTCGGTGGCACTGAAATTCTTCTGTATCTTTTTTTCCCTATTTTTCCATTTTTTTTTTCTTTTTCCGTCTTTTTCCTCACGAAATAAATATCCCAGTCTTCTACGTAGAAAAGAGAATAGCAACCGACTACGAACCTTCGTGAAATCCTGACGACCCTCCGATCATTTTTCGAGATTCACGATACCGGAAGTAAAACGAAGACGTACAATCTTTGGAGCACGAGTCGCTGTGATCTTGATGATAATCTTTCGCAAAATTTACATGGAGGAACGTTAAATTATCTAAGGCTAACATTCATGCACTCGCCCTCGTTTCCACCCTCCCCGATCACCAGGTAGCCGATTCGAGACGCGTCCTCGATCCCTGGCGATCCGCGTTCGATGCGAAAAATCATAGTTCCATTCTCCACGCGCGAGATCTCCGGACGAATCTTCTAGGCTCGATTACTCGATCGATCCTATTGCCGTCATTTCGCTTGCAGCTCCGCCGCCTGTTCCTCTTCCTCTTTCGTCAGGGGCACCGTCGAATGATTGTAAAGACCCTGGGCCATCAGCTGAAGGGCGAGCGGATTCTTCTGGCCGCTGGCCTTCTTGATCTTCGCCCTCTTGTTCTGAAACCAGATCTTGATCTGCGCCTCGTTCAGGCCCAGATCCCTCGAGAGCTGCTGCCTCCTTCGCTCGGTTAGGTATCGATTCTCCGCGAACTCCCTCTTCAGCCTGGCCAGTTGTTCGCCGCTGAACGCGGTCCTTGGACGCTTCTCCTCGGGGGTGCCGCCATTGCCACGGCCGTCTGACCTCTTCACCCTCCTCGTCCGCGGACCTGCAACACGGTAGGATCCTATCGTCAGCTGATATCTGTCGAAGCATCTACAGAATTGAATCTAACGCCTTTCCGGGATTTAAATCCCGTCAAAGGTACCGGGTATTCCGCGATATTTGTGTCTTTTCCTTTCATTTTCTTTCGTAATAATCATCGAACGATGAAGAGAATTAAGGAAAGGAATCGAATTTCGCAATCTCAAAAGTTCCCTAACGAGTTCTATCTTCGATAAAACACGGAACGCAGATTCGCTTCCGTTAGAAAGGTCCATCGACCTTCCCGTCCTTCCGCGCCCCCTCTAAATCGTCCCCCTCACTCGGAGATCTCCCGATAGGGGAATAGGGTACATAAAGCAATCAAAAATTAGCCTTACATAACGATTCATAATGCTCCTCCGTGGCCGCGGAGAACATTGATTCAACAAGTTTACGCGGCAATAAATCTGAGAAATTAACGAACCGGCGGCACGGCGCGCGCGCGCGCGCGTAGTGACAAACTTTACGACAACTTTTATTGTCTAGTCGGTCTTAACTGCTTTTCCCTGGCCGTTCGCGTACAACTCTACCATAACAAGGGAGCGTGGTTCGGCCTGTTCCTCCGCACGAAATAAACGTCCGCTCGAGACGAGAGGAATAGTTGGTCCACGCGGGGCCGAGTCCTCCTCGCGGATACGCCGCGCGTTTATCGTCGTCCGGGGAAGCTGCTAGGAGTCCTTCGCAGACTCCGCACCACTGGTCATGCGGAGTTAAGAGAGACAACTTAATCGTAAATCAAACGCGTTATTGTTGCTGGTGCCTCAGCCGCGCGAGCTACGGACGTCATCGTTTGATGGCCGGAGATGCTGGCCGGTGTCGCGGATGGCAAATTAATTTTTCCCCTTTCTCCTCCCTCCTGCACGCTAATTGTTCGTCGCGTTCGCGAATTAACGCGACAGCGAAACGCCGCGAGGGTTATTACCGCGGATAAGATTTCTCGAAATTTTCCTCCGCGACGTCTCCGACCGCGCGATTTATCTCGTCGGTGATCCCGCGATCCTCACGGAAGCCTTTGACAATGGAACGAGCCAGTGGCGCGCGTGGATCGAAACGGAGAGAAGCCCGATGCTCGGAGAATACAAGGAGCGTGCAAGGGTGCTTCTTCTGGACGTTAATAACTCGTCGTAAATATCGTAATGATTGCCACCTTGCATGCGCGCGTACACCGAGCAAGCTCGGGCTTTTATTATTATCCTGGGCGGAGTAGGGAGATACAATCTGGAATGATAATCGCGCGGAACGACTGATTGTTCGTGCCGGCTGGCGAAAAAGTACACGCGGATCGGGGAGAGCTTCGATTTGTTTTAAACCACCGAGTCGGAGAGTCTCGGTGATCGGACGAGCTGGAAAATTGCCTAGTCGGCAGTAGCAAGTTTCGTATAAAGGATGATAATGAAGCGAACGCCGCGCTATGTGTTTATACAAATCTCCGCGATTTATCGACCCTACCAAGGACGCTGCTTATTAGTAGTCTCGATCCTAGCATGGAAACCAACAAACGGATGCAGATTATTACTTTCTCGGCTGCCGTACGTTACCACGGTATTTAAGACCGATGATTTTTCCAGAACCCCGGCGGACGATCGATTATCGGACGCTCTGGCATGATTTTCGTTACGGTGTATCATCGTGTCTTAATCGGTGTTACGCGATCTGCGTGTAAAACGGTGCACGTATCACCCCGAACGTCGCGTGGAGATTCGGGTGTCTGGAACGAGTGGTTGAATAAACAGAAAAATTCCTAGAACGAATTTCTTCGAAACGGACGGACGAGAAAGCGACGCGACGCAGCCAGTTTCTCGCTCTCCTGCTCGGAAATGACTGAGGTAACGAACGGTCGGCAGTCTAATTACTTAAGCGAAGTAGTCTCGTTGTCGGTGGCAGGAAAGAGGCATTCAGGAACCCACTTCTCGCTCTCTCGACCCTCGTTCCGCTTCTCGTCTCTCGCCGTTCCACGGTTTCCATTTAAGGAACAACCCCCTCCTCCGCGCTCACCGTGGGCGTCTCGAGGGGTAAAACCAATAACGCTAAGACGCCCTCGAGAGTGAGTACATCCCCGAAAGTACCTCGCATACCGAGGACGTGCGGCCGCGAACGAACACTAATTTCCTCTCGACCTATCCTTGAGTTAGACGTCAGCTACCGACCTGGCTGCTCCACGCGCTTCTCGTCGTTTCTCCTCGACGCAATGCCCTTGATTAACGCCGCGAGTCATTGTCGGTTCTCGTCACCTGTCGCCGCTGTTTCCACCGGCACGATGGTTTGTCTCGCCGCTGCGATCCTTCATTTTCCACGGAAGACTATTGAAATTAATGGCCGACAGCGACACCAGCCGAGCCTAGGCTCAGCCTACCTCGGCTCGGCGCTCAGTTCTCAGCAGACTAGAACGAATCTCGGGAAGGCGAGTTCGATTCGCGAAGCACGAGCTATGAAAGAACCGCGGGAAAGTTAATCGGACGGTGTGGCAAAGAAAGGCAAATATTTCCGCGCGTATTCCACGCAGAAGAAGAACAATGGCGCGGATGTTTCGTTTTTACCTTCCGGCCGGCCTCGCGAGGACGCGACGCGCCGTCGACTATTCGCTTCTTGCGCAGAATTTTACCGATGTAATTCGATTGACGGAAAAACTCGAACAATTAAACCGCTTCATCATTGCCCTGTCATCGGAGCGACGAGGCGGAGAGCGTTTCGTCGCCGAAGGACGACTAGTCGCTTCGTACTCGCGAGCATCCTCCACACGGATCGATCCTCGAACAGCCGAGACAGTCAGCAACGATATCCCTGGTTATATATCTGCCTCTCGAAACTCCGTTTTCCCCGAACCAGCGTTCAGACTTTGCGTAACGAATCGTGGAAACCATCGCGGTTCGTTCTCGTTCGGTTTCGCTGCTTGGGTCCCAGGTCACGTTGCTTTTAATTGCACCGGTATCGATGGCGAGCCAGTCGAGTGGGACCTATAGCGAGCTCTGCTCGAATCGCTCCAGAAGCCGATCGTTCGACTGTCACGGGAACGGCTCGCGTGGTCGGTGGAACGAGGGAACGAGGGAACGAGGGAACGTAAATAGTCGGTCTTGCATCGACAACCACCGATGGATTTAGCGAAATCATCTTTCCCTTCCGTGGGACTAAAAACCGAACGATCCGGGTCACGATTCAAATGTGTCCTAATGCTCTTACCGATGGAATACCGCGTTTTTGCCGCGGGTTTCGCCCTTTCCGCTCTTCTCCAGGGGAAAAAGAACGCGTCGTGGCACCAACTCTGGAAACGCCCATCCCGATTCTTCCCTGTCATTCGACGATCCTCGCGGAGGCCGCGCCATTAATCCGGGCGTATCGGAAACATTACCGGGCGTCTTTGCCGTGTTACGAGCCGGACGATCGACACGGGGATCGTGCCAAGAAAGGAGACCGTTCGCAGCGGATTCCTAGAAACGAACGTAAGAGGAACGGCGGGATCGAGTCCTCATAAATTTATCGATCGTTCTTGCAAAACCCCGCGGAGAGCGGCGTGAACCGATGAGGACAGCGTTTCAGCAGTTTTTTCCCTGTTTCCAAGGTGAATAGAAAGTAATCAACGGCCGGTGTCGGCGAGGCGAAATCGGCGATACCCGAGGTAATACCTGTTACGATATTTCATCGAAAGATCCGTTTTCTTCGTTGGAAAAGCTCGGAATTCTACCGGTGTACGAGGATAGGTACTCGGCCCATAAAGCTTGGCCGATAATTACGAGCGGTCGGACACGATCGGCTCGCACGATCGCCGCGAGTACCTCTCTCGATCGCGATCGAGCAACGATCGACGGGGGCCGCGCGAAGTGAGTCGTACACAGCTATGAATCGCGCGGTGCCGCGGTACGTGCAATGATCCGGCCCGCTCTTAAAGCGCCACTAAACTTGCGCGTCACGTTCCTTTTAATTACGTCTGCCAGCGACGACGGATGCGAAACGGCCGCGGAGGGAGGGACGCTAAGAATTCATTAAACGATACTCTGGAACAACCGAGTCGAGAGCTGTAACAGGACCGAAGTGGGACAGGTGCTGGATCATACCTCGCGAAACCGCCAGCCGAACGGCCTACGACGTCGTGCACCGATCTCTAGAAAGGGAGTCGCGTATTTTTCCGATCGCGCAGGTGTCCCGAGCGGATCGAGAGTTTACTCCGTCGACGGTGATCCACGTTCGCTGTCTCCACTCGCTCGAATTTTCCGAGGATTCGTTAACAGCGAGAAAGAGAGAGAGAGAGAGGAAGAGAAGCAGAGAGAACCGGTATTCTTCGAGTAGTCGCGAGAGTTACAACCCACGTTTGATCGGGTTTGATCGGTGTCCGCGATACAAGCGCGATATCTCTCTGCCGTATCTTTTTCCCCGCGACCCCGTCGTAACTTTTCCAGTGCAAATACGCTGCAATCGAATCGAAATTAAATCATTGCTTAATCTTCGCGGAGGGAGAAAGAGGAAGCGCGAGGGGGGAGGAAATGCATGCTTCGTCCCGCAGCAGGCTCGTATTGCAGTCGAACGGTTAAATACCTACGGAAGGTAGCGCGTTACTCTTCCCGTAGCAGAAATCAATTAAGAGGTCGGAAAATTTATCGCGGGTCTACAAGACCGGCTCACGGGAACAGTTTCTCAATACCGGCCAGCCTTCGCGCTGTCCCGCGGCGTTGTCGCGATCGCCGCTCGCAATTATCAATTCTAATTAACGATCGTCGCGTCGGGAGTTTCATTATTGTTTTTAATTACCAGTCCGGCCGGTCGTTTCTCTAAATCACCGTTAATGAAACTATCTCCCGACAGCGTCACTGGGAAACGGAATTTTTCCACGCGATGCCGAGCTACCCAGACACCGAAGACTCGCCGCCGCGCTATTAAAGGAAACGATTCGCGCGATCGTCTTCACATCCTCATCGTCGCTTTTTCCCCGTTACGTTCTCGGCTGGCAGGGCGAGCGTCGCTCTAAATCAGCCGCGACAAATTTACTACCGA